AAATAAATAAATAAATAAATAAATAAAGCAGATACAAACAATAGAATAAAGTCAATAGTATCTTTGATTTTAAAAGAGCTGATTTCAACAAATTTAAAGACAGTTTGGGAAAGATTCCATGGATGAAAATCTTCAAGGAGAAACTCAAGAAGCTTTGGAAATTCTGAAAAATGAGATTATAAAAGCCCAGTCTAGCACAATAGCAGAAAAAAGAGAGATTCCAGAAGAATCCAGCATCGCTACTCTGTTAAATTGAAAGACAAAAAGGACAAGTATAAAAAATGGTAAAAGAGACTAGAATAGTAGAATAGTAGAATAGTAGCATATAGCCCGAATCTGAAAAAGTAAAGTCAGGAAAGCTAAGACTTGCAACAAAATATTTCTTTTGACATGTAAAAAGCAGGGGAAAGAAGTCAAAGAAATGATTGGTCCACTAATAGGAAAAGATGGCAAAAAAGTGATAGGCAGCAGGGAGAAAGCAGAACTGCTTAATTCAGCCTATTTCTTGATAAGATAGAAAAATGTGGGATAGACACATTACCACTATCTGGATTTGAAATTGGCTAATGAACTGCACTCAATGTGTAGTCTTCAATGGAACTATATCTACATGGAAGGAAGCACCCATTGGGGTACTACAAGGTTCTACTCTTCATAAATGATTTAGAAGAGGGGATAGAAGGGAACTCAGATTTCAGATGATATCAATCTGGGGGGGAATAGCAAACATTTTAGAAGATGGGTTCTGTTCTGTACAGTCAATTTACATACTCGTAGCCCCGCGTCGCGATTGGCTAAAGCGCGCGGCGACCGGATTGGTCGAGCGAGCCGCACTGATTGGCCCGTTGCGAATCCCCCGCGATTGGTGGAAACTAATCGCGGGAGATTCGAAGCGGTGCCATTGGCCGCGGCCGCCGCGGCTCGGAAATAAAAGCCGCAGTCTTTCCCTCCAAGCTTAAGCTGGATCCGGAGCCAATAAAGAGCTGAAACCAAGTCACTGACTCCGAGCTTCCTTCCCGCGACGGACACGACACTGGCGACGAAGGTGGGATACAGAGAATAACCACCGAGCACGTGTCCCGAGGAAGACAAAGACCGACGAGATGGCCAGCATGACCCCACCAGCACCCTTCAACCCAGCTACCGAGGACTGGGAATCGTACACGGATAGATTCCTAATGTTCCTCGAAAGTAGCAATTTGAAGGATGCGAACGGGCAAAAGAAAAGGGCCGTTTTCCTCACACACTGCGGGCCCGCAGTGTTTAAGATGGCCAAAGCCCTCGCGAAGCCCGAGGATGTGAAGGCAATGGACTGGGCCGATCTCGAGCCACTCCTTCGGAACCACTACGCCCCCGCTGTGCCCATCCTCATCCGGTGGGATGAGTTCTATCGGCGGAACCAGAGGCAGGACGAGAGCATCAGCGACTTCATAGCCGCCTTGCGGGACCTAGGGGGGATGTGCGAGTTCCGGGACCTGGACGATGTCCTCCGAGACCGCGTGGTCCTAGGCCTCAGGGATCAGGCACTAAAAAGTCGACTGATGGCAAAAGGCAACATCGACCTCGGGGACGCCCTGGCCGAAGCTTCCGCGGCCGAAGCCACCCGGAAGTCAGCAGCCAGACTTCGGAGGGCAGACAACGGGGACCGCACTGAAAACCCCGAGGCAAGCCGACGAGAGACCACCACACACCACGGGGACCTGGACTCCGCCTCCGATACCACGGACGAGGAGGAAGACGTCCACCGGCTACAAACAGGACGGGACCGGCGAGATCAACGGGGTCGTAAGTCAGGGAACCAGTGCGCCGGGTGCGGGGGAAATCACCTTCGATCAGAATGCCGGTTCATCGACGCGATCTGCCGGCATTGCAACAAGAAGGGCCACATCGCCCGAGTCTGCCGACTCAGAAGGACACACAGCCCCCGCCGGCGAGAACCAAGCAACCGGGGACGAGACGACACCCCCCCGAGGACCAGAGATCGCCAAGCCGACAATCGCTGGAGCCGAGACAACCGAGGGCGACGGAACGGGGAAGGCCGCCAGAGAGAAGAAACCCACCAGACGGTCACCATCGGCCATGCCGAAACCACTGATGCCCGGAAGGTCTACGTGGAGGTGAGCATCGAGGGCGAGCCATGCCGGATGGAGGTAGACTCCGGATCCTACCTCTCCATGGTTGCCTGGAAAGAACTCAAGCGACTGGTGCCAAACATCCAGAAAAGAGGACTGGAGAACCAGAAGCTGATCATCAAGGACTATCAGGGGAACCGCATCCCCGTCATTGGGACCGGACAGTTCGAGGTGACTTTCAAAAACCGCACCGCGAAACTTCCCCTGACTATCGTGGACCGGAACCGACCCAGCCTCTTAGGACTCCAGTGGTTCGCGCCACTCGGGATCGAGGTCACGGGAATAAACCACACCACAGAGGCCGACTGGGAGCAGCAACTGGCGAGGGATTTCCAAGAAGTATTCGACGGCACCCTAGGCAAGTACAAAGGGCCCCCTATCTCCTTCAGCCTAGACCCAAATGTCGCCCCCATACGCCTAAAACCCAGACGGGTGCCTTTTGCACTCCGGAAGAAAATAGACGAGCAGATTGACAAGCTCGTCAAACAGGGGGTTTTGCAGCCAATCGACCATGCCCGGTGGGAGACCCCTATAGTCACCCCAGTCAAGCCAGATGGGTCAGTAAGGATCTGCGGGGACTATAAGGCCACCCTCAATTGCGCCCTGCAACAAAGCGCCTACCCCGTCCCAGTAGTGCAACACTTATTACACTCGCTGGGGGGGGGCAAGGTCTTTGCGAAGCTCGACCTGGCGCAAGCCTATCAGCAACTGCCGGTCGATGAAGAAACCGCCGAGGCGCAAACAATAGTCACCCACCGGGGAGCGTTTCGTTGTAACCGACTCCAGTTTGGAGTCAGCGTGGCCCCAGGAATTTTCCAGAGCCTCATGGAGAGGCTGCTGCGAGGAATCAAGGGGGTGGTCCCCTATTTTGACGATGTATTAGTGTCGGCAGCCAACCAGGAGGAATTAGAGGGTCGCCTAAGGGAGGTACTAGAAAAATTCAAAGGGGCCGGGCTGAAGGTGAAGAAAGAGAAATGCCAGCTATGCACAGAGCAAGTCGAGTTCCTGGGGTACCTCCTAGACCGACATGGCATCCATCCAACCGGAAGCAAAATCAAAGCCATAAAGGAAGCCCCCACACCCAAGAACAAAACAGAGCTGCAGGCATTTCTGGGACTGCTAAATTTTTACAATGTGTTCTTGCCCCAAAAGGCGACCGCAGCGGAGCCCTTGCATAGGCTCCTGGACAGGACGGCCAAATGGACCTGGGGGAAACGGGAGGACACCGCATTCAAGAACACCAAAGACCTGCTCACCTCGGATGCCGTCCTCATTCAGTATAATGAGACCCTACCCATCGCCGTCACATGCGACGCCTCACCATTTGGCGTCGGCGCCGTCCTCAGCCATACACTTCCGGACGGAAAAGAAGCACCCATCGCTTTCTTTTCGAGAACACTCAGCAAACCCGAAAGAAACTACAGCCAATTAGACAAGGAGGCACTGGCCATCGTCGCAGCGGTAAAGAAGTTCCACGAGTACCTCTACGGCCGCCGATTCACCCTCATCACGGACCACAAGCCACTGCTGGGCATCCTGGCGGGGAACAAGGCCACCCCGAACATCCTATCCCCCAGGATGACAAGGTGGTCCGAGTTCCTCGCCGCCTACGACTACCGGCTCACACACAGACCCGGTAAGACGATCTCCCATGCAGACGCGCTGAGCCGCTCGCCGCTTCCCGACCTAGACGACGACCCAGCTCCCACGACGACCACCCTCAGCATAGAGACATTGCCCGATCTACCCATAACCGCGTCAGACATTGCCCGAGAGACTAATAAAGACAAGCGTCTGGCGCGGGTATTACATTGGGTAGAAAAGGGATGGCCAGAGAAAGACAACGATGAAGCATTCAGGACATTCCGAAACCGGCAAACAGAACTGTCACTACAGAAAGGTTGTTTGCTATGGGGGGACAGGGTGGTCATACCGGAAAAATTGCAAGGGAAAGTATTAAAATTATTACACGAAGGGCACCCGGGGATTGTGAGGACTAAAGCTTTGGCCAGAAGCTATGCTTGGTGGCCAGGTATGGACAAGGAGATCGAGGCCTGGGTAGCCAAGTGCTCGCGCTGCCAAGAAACCAGACCAAATCCCCCCGCAGCACCAATATTAGAATGGGAAACGCCCAGGGGGCCATGGTCGAGACTCCATATAGATTTTGCCGGGCCCACAAAAGGGAACACATTCCTCATCACGGTGGATGCTTACTCCAACTGGCTGGAGGTAAGCAACATGAAGACCACCACAACAGATGCGGTAACCAAGGTCTTAAACAAGCTTTTCGCAACCCACGGCCTCCCGGATGTCATCGTGTCAGACAACGGACCCCAGTTCACCTCGCTGGAATTCGAAAAATTCCTAGCGGAACGAGGCATACGACACGCACTGACAGCGACGGCGCATCCGGCGGCCAATGGTAGGGCAGAACGGATGGTTCAATTTACAAAGAGAACCCTCCAAAAAATCGAACACGGGGACATACAAGAAAAAATAAATAAAATGCTCCTAATACAACATATAACCCCAAACACAACGACAAACAAAAGCCCGGCAGAATTACTGATGGGGAGAAAACTAAGGTCACCACTCGACAGACTACACCCCACGTACAACCCGGAAAAACCCCCGGACTCATCAAGCAAGCACCGGGTTTTTGCACCAGGCGACGCAGTCTATGCAAAAAACCTTACCGGAGACCCACTATGGGTACCGGCAACTATAACCCAACTGACAGGACCCCACTCCTACCGGCTACAGACAACCGACGGACAAACATGGAAACGCCACATCGATCAATTAAGATCAAGAACAAAAAACACAACCGACACGCAACCAAACACAGACGACCCCGTTAACACAAACCAAGAGGGGAGGGAAGATACAGGGGATCAAATAGAAAATAACCAGCAATACTCACCAGTCAACAGCCAGCCCGAAGTCTCACCAGGAAGAAACAGCCAGGCCAGCTCAACCAGCCCGGAAAGACCAGGCAGGAGCGGCGAAAGTCGCAGCTCGACCAACCCGGGTAGACCGGGAGGGAGCTGCAACAAGAGGCCCAGCGACACCTTCCAGGGGGTTCCATCGACAAGGCCAAGAGAAACAGAGGTCCCGACCGAACCGGCCGGGAGCCAAACAACAACTAATCTGCGCAAGTCAAATAGGCAAGTACGAAGCCCCGCCTACCTACGGGACTACGTTACGTAGGACCGAACCAAGAGGGGAGGGGTGTTCTGTACAGTCAATTTACATACTCGTAGCCCCGCGTCGCGATTGGCTAAAGCGCGCGGCGACCGGATTGGTCGAGCGAGCCGCACTGATTGGCCCGTTGCGAATCCCCCGCGATTGGTGGAAACTAATCGCGGGAGATTCGAAGCGGTGCCATTGGCCGCGGCCGCCGCGGCTCGGAAATAAAAGCCGCAGTCTTTCCCTCCAAGCTTAAGCTGGATCCGGAGCCAATAAAGAGCTGAAACCAAGTCACTGACTCCGAGCTTCCTTCCCGCGACGGACACGACAGGTTCAAGATCCACAAGGATATTGACAGACTTGAACAATGGGCTCTTTTCAACAAAATGTATTACAATGTTTTACACATAGTCAAGAAAAACCAAATGCACAGGTATAGAATATGTGATATGTGATATCTATCTCAATACCCATAATTGTAAGAGGGATCTAGGAGTCCTAGTAGACCACCACTTCAATATGAACCAGCTGCCAAAATAGTCAATGTGGTCCTAGGCTGTATCAACAAAGGGATAGTACCAAGATCATACAAAATGTTAATACCACTTAATGCTGCTTTAGTAAGACCACACTTGGAATACTGCAAACAAATTTGATCACCATGATACAAAAATATGTTGAAACCCTAGAAAGACTTCAGAGAACAGCAACAAAGATGATTAGGGGGCTGAAGGCTAAAACCAGGGGTGGGATGCTACCGATTCTGCCTGGCTCTGTTTAACCAGTAGCTCTGAAGAGCAGCAGACACAGAACTGGTTCTGTGTCTGCTGCTGTTTGGCCCACCTGCCCGCCCGGGCTCTTACCCGACCTTTATTTCCTGCTTTTTCAACCTCAGCTGCTTTGCATGGCACAGCTGAGGTTGAAAAATCAGTAAAAAAGGCATTTTTCAAATGCTGCGCACCTGCGCGCAGCGCTTATCAGCTGTCCGAGAGGCACAGCTTTTGTTGTATTACATGAGCGTGCAGCGTGCATCTGGTGTGCGTGCACGCGAAGTGCGCATGTGTGCGCAAAACATAAGTACCAAACTGGTAGTAACACGGGTTGAATCTCACCCCTGGCTAAAACATATGATGAACAGTTGCAGGAACAAGAAATTTTTAGTCTAATGAAAAGAAGGACTAGGGGTAATATGATAGCAGTCTTCCAATATTTGAGGGGCCATCATACAGAGTCATCCAGCCTAGAACTAAGGAGACATTTCTTGAGAGTGAGAATTAATCAATAGAATTGCTTGCCTCCAGAAGTTGTGAGACTGCTCCATCACTGAAGGTATTTAAGAAGCGACCGGACAGCCATTTGTCCAGAATAGTACAGGGGCTCCTGCTTGAGCAAGGGGTTGAACTAGAAGATCACCAAGGTCTTTTCCAAGTGTTCAAGTACAGTAGAAGCTCTGCTGTTGTTAAAGGCATTGAGGAATCTGGTAAGGAAATATCTCTGAAACAATGACCCAAGTTTCTTATACGTACATTTGGGTATGGTCTGTAAAACCAAAGAATTTGTTATTGTCAATGAAGTAAACTTTCTCCTTAAATTCTCCATGAATCATCTTACTTTGTTGTCTGATCTCAAATCTCCTGCTTTTTCTTAATTCTTCTGTTATTGAGAACTCCAAAAAGATTTAAGGTCTTACCAACAACATTTCCCTCCCTATTGCAGGCTATTGTCCACAGTCCAAAAGGCATAACATGATTTCATAAGCAGTCAGGTTTGGAAGATCTTCGAAAACTTTCAAATCACGTAGCTCCTTTCTGATTGTAAATCTAATTCTAAACAATCTAAAATGTTTTTTTTCCTCAGGTAAAAATATTTATGTATTTGTTAAACCAAAAGATGTGCTACTCCTGTTCATAAATGTAACCTAACAAATCCTCAAGTGTCCAAGCTGTAAAGCTTGTAGATCACATCAACCAGCTTGTGTAAGACAGATGTGTGTAAGAGAGATGCTTTGCTTTGAATATTTCATTTCAACAGACAGACAGACATCAGTCTGTCCCCAAGACTGAAGTTCCCTAGCTGTCAAATCACTGTCATATCATTGTTGCTACTTAATAATATATTGGGCTGGGGCAGAGGAAAGATTCAGCAGAAAATCAGCTGAAGGACAAATTTCAAATCAGTGATAACATATGGCATTTATAATAGTAGTGCATGTTAACCACAATGCAATCCACCTGAAAACAGTGCAAGAGTTTATCTTCGTCTGCTGTTAGGGGAAAAAAGGCTATTGATTGCCATATCAGATTAAATGCTTTGAAATAGCTGTATGTCCTTTGAATGCTGAAAGCTGTGAACTGGAACAGTCAAATATTATATCACACCGTCAAGAGATTTAAAAGCAATTGCCATACAAGAATAGTTCTTATTAGGAGAGCTTTTTTAAAAAAATATTAATGGTCTTCTCTCCAGGGCTAAAATTATCAGTGTGATCCAATTAATAGCTTTTTATTAATTAAAATTCTCAAGAAAGAATTTCCAGGTTTGTCCTTCCTATATTATTAAACAAAATGTTATAATAAATGCCTAAGGAAGGAAAACTATGGATATGTGTAGAATACTCATATGGATTACAGATTAACAGAGTTGGAAGGGAACAGTAATTTTAAATTAGGCCAACAGCTGAAGTAAATTTAATGCAGAGTGTCACATCCCCATCGGAGTCTGAATCTGAGGGGGAAGATGAACAGCTGACAGAGAGAGAGAGTGGCTCTATTGGCTGTGGAGGAAACTGGGAAAGAGCAAAGTCAGGCTGGGCAGAGCAGGGGAGAGGTAGAACAAGGCAGAGATGGTTCAGATGAAGACCAAGGCCTACCCCCTCCTCATCCTAGGGCATGCAGGGAAGAATGCAGAAGAGTGCAACACAGGTTGCTTGGCTTATGAGGAAGGAAAGGGCCCTAATTCCCTTCAAAAGGCACATCTGGGGATGGAGTTTAAAGGAGAGGCAGTCGAGAGGGGTGTTTGTTGGGAACAAACACTGAATTCATCTAGTGTTGTGAGTTTTATCCTGCATTCCTGGCATTCCTCTTGTCTCTGTAAATTATTGCCATGCTTCTGTGTGCTTATCTGCCTTGCTGGAATTATCGGACTCATTATCTTGCCCTGCTGGAATGATTGATTGCAGTCATTCTGCTTACAGTGTTTGGACTGGAATATCTACAGCCAGAGGCTGTTGTAGGTTCGTGGGAGAGCTTTTCTCCAAGCTGGAGAGTAACTGGGACGTTGGGGGAAAAGTTGGAGCAAATAATGAGACTCATATCTATTTTCTTGCTGTGTTGCCTTCGTGCCATGCCCCGGGTCATCACACAGAGTTATAGATTTTAAAAAATGATCTTGGAACTGTAACTGATTTCAAGTTGAATATGAAATAACAATTTTATATAATTGCAAAAAAAAAAAAATCAAACACAATTTTAGGCTGATCTATGGAATCTGAAGGTGGGAAATTGAAATAATAAAAGTTGCAGTATTTCAACACAAACTGTGCCTACTTTGTATGTTGTGGCATTGCATATATATATTAAGAGGTGAGGTTTTGTCACAATATTGTATTTCATCATTCTGGCAAATTCTGTTGGATGTTCTGGATGCCCTCATAATACAGTGGTGTGTTTCAAATATTTTTACCACCGGTTCGGTGGGCATGGCTTAGTGGGTGTGCTTTCACATGTGCACACACTTTGTGGGGCGTGAGCAGCCAGAAGTCGCTACTGGTTCTGCAACCCACGCCAAATTCGCTACCAGTTCTCCTGAACCGGTGAGAACCAGCTGAATACCACTACTGGCATTCCCCTACTTCAATGTCAAGCAGGGCTATATGCCAGAAGCTTTATTGTTTAATAAAGCTATTTTCTAAAGCACCTGTTGGCCAGACAAGGAACGGATGGAAACTGAACAAGGAGAGATTTAACCTGGAAATAAGGAGAAACTTTCTGACAGTGAGAACAATCAACCAATGGAACAACTTGCCCTCGGAAGTTGTGGGAGCGCCATCACTTGAGACTTTCAAGAAGAGATTGGACTGCCATTTGTCAGAAATGGTGTAGGGTCTCCCGCTTGGACAGGGGGTTGGACTACAAGGTCCCTGCCAACTCTGATTATCTGTTATCTGTTATTTATATAAACACCTTACTCACTGCCCTGAATTATTTTTCATCATCACTGAAATAGGCACATAACATACCTGTATTTTTTAATGCCATTTTGTTTTTTCTGATTTTGGACGTTATATGCTCCTGATGCATTTTGTCTAGATTGTAAAACACGATAAGATTAGAATACTTATCTTTGCAAAACACCCCAAATGCCATTCTTGAAGACTCAATGAGACAAATTACAGCAGATTGAACATCATTAAATAT